TGCACCTAGCTTTTGGAGAGGAAAACAAGAAAAAAAATCTGCCTCTGCCTCCTACCAATTTGCCTCCTTGCAGCAAACAGCCTGTTTCAGTTTCAGCTTCAGCATAGCTTCACTAGCACAAGCAGCTGATTGTCAGTTGGATCACCTCTTGACCATCAGCTGTTTCAGGCTACAGGGATTCTCATTGCCTATTGCTATATGCCCCATTTTCGGGCTCCGTGTGCCCCATTTTCCACCCATTCCGATCCCCCCCAGCCCAAAACAGGGGGGAAATGGGGCGCACAGAGACTGAAACGGGGCATGCAGAGGCAGCAATAGGTTATGGCAGCGATAATGAGCCTTTTTTGACTCGCCTGCCATAAGGGGGAAGGGCAGGGCTCGTGCGCGGACATGCCGCATCCATAATGCAATATGCGACACAACCATGCGCATGCACACATGACAGGCACTCTCCCCCAATTTTTGCATGCTTTTTTCGCCCTACCCAGGCTCCAGAGGCTGTATAGAAGCTTGGGGAAGGTGAAAACAGCCTCCCCACCCACCGGAGGGCCTCCAGAGGCTTCAGGGACCTTGGGCTTAAACCAGCCCTACGACCAAACCGGAAGTCACTTCCAGTTTGCTCACAGGGTCGTTTTTAGTCCTCCAGAGGCTTCAGGGAAGCTTCCTAAAGATCCCTGAATCCTTCGGAGGGCTTAAACCGACCCTATGAACAAACCGGAAGTCTGTTCCCAAACTTCGGGTTTGCCCATAGGGCTGTTTTTTTGCGCTCTGGGGGCTTCTGGGAAGCTCCTGAAAGCTCTGGAGGGCTCTTTTTGCCCTCCCCAGTTTCCTATAAAGCCTCTGGAGCCTGGGGAGGGCGAAAAATGGCTTTAAAAAAGGCTGAACAGCTGGCCAGCGCATGAATGTGCACAGGCCAGCTGACAGGGCAATGCCTCGCGTGACCTGACAAATGGCTCCACATGCCAACTGTAGCATGCGTGCCATAGGTTCACCATCCGGAGGCTATGACAATCCCTCCAGCCTAAAACAGCTGATTATCGGGAGACTGATCCAACCGACAATCAGTTGCTTGTGCCAATCAGACTATAATAAAATTGAAACTGAACCAGGTTGTTTGCTGCAAGGAGGCAAATTGCTGGGAGTCAGAGGCAGATTTTTTTTCTTGTTTTCCTCTCCAAAAGCTAGGTGCATCTTATACTTCGGAGTGTCTCATACTCTGAAAAATACGGTATATACAGAACTGTTTCCAAAATAACTTACTGATTCAATGCAAATGCACAAGATATAAAACAGGTTAAATCAAATGCTTTCGTTCAGGTGAAAGGAAACAGAATGAGACCATGAGCTGAACAGAGTTCCTTATTGATGCTAGCCTATTTACAAGAATCTTGTATTTACAAGAACTGCATTCTCTTCCAGATAAAGCAAACAGCAGATAAAGGCTTCAGGAATTTTAGGGAGAGTCTGGCCTCAGCTGCTTTCTTCCTGGAGAGATTCCAAATTTGCCAATCTCTGTACTCCACCCTTCTCCCCACTCTAGTTGGGGATTCCACCACACTTTCTCCCCATTTCTTAATAAATGGCAAAAGTAAACAATTTTAGGCTACATAGGACTCTTTGCCTAGTGTTGCACCACCAGGATAACACGGCTTAAATTTCAATAGTCAATTAAAAAACCAGTAAGCCTAAAATAACAGCATTAAGCTTCTTAATAGTCTTAATCCAACAATTTTGCTCAGTCTTGTCTAATTTAAAATAAGCAAGGGGTAGGGGTTACGCTTTTGGATTGCAAAAGGATTGCTTGCCCCTAATGTAGCATAAAAACTACTTGTACATAATTTGTACATTAAAAATGACTCTAAACTCTGAATCAGCTCAAGAGAAAAATACAAAGAATAAGTACCTTGGTTTGGATATTGGTAAGGCATAGCATATGTCTGTCCATTAGAAGTGTAGATGATCTGAGTTCCTGGATATGCGCCATTGTATTGTGGGTAACCATAAACCTAAAGGTATTAATGTTAGAAACATTTGTGAAAGAAAGTACCACTTTCACCTTCTCAGGATTCTCTCTCTCTCATTAGCTATTTATGCCACTTTTGTTTTTTTCACAGAAAGATTACCTTTCAATTTGATTTAATTTAATTAAGAATGCTTTAGGAGCTAATGGGGACCACATTACTCCTCAGAAACAAAGGGTAAACTTGAGATAAATACTTTGCACATCTTAATTTTGCATTTACTTGCTTTCAGTCAAAATAATCAAATGGACAGATAAGGGTGAGTTATATCCATGGTGTCCACAAGTGTCTGGGTGGGGTCTCAGGACTAGGAAGATACAAGCTATGCTTTAATTAGAAGTGGGGGTATAATGCACCTGTACAGAAAAATAAAAAGTACTCTCTAAAAGTCCTGCTTCAAATCAGAAATCCTGTCAATAAGTTTAATGCATGATAATATAAAGCATGTCAATTACTACCATTTTAAATCATTTACACATTTGACTTGATGTACCTCAGGTGATGGTGTTGCATAAGCTGTATACGGAGGGGGCGCTGAAGAAATCGCATTATCATCATACATCACCTCAGAAGCAACGTAAGTCTGGACACATCAACATAAAAATACAGCAAAAGTTGGTCTTGTTATTAAATGACAACTGCAACTAAGCATATCAAATCTAAGAAAGGCAAATAAACATCTTTTGCACGAAGAAGGTATTTGTTGAAAAAGACAAAGATGGGTTTTTTTTCCAAAATAATGTTTCTAACTAATAATTGGATAATTTAGTATTTATTATGCATACTACACAAATTAAGTCTCTCAGTCTTGCTTTCTATTTACCGAATTTTTTGGAGTATAAGACTCACCTTTTTCCCTCAAAAAAGATGTTGAAAATCTGGGTGTATCTTATACACTGAATATAGCATTTTTGCCTCTCAAAACTCCACCCCCTTCACCAAAATAGCTGTGCATAGCATATGTCTGTCCATTAGAAGTGTAGATGATCTGAGTTCCTGGATATGCGCCATTGTATTGTGGGTAACCATAAACCTAAAGGCTTTCAGAGTGACCTGGGGGCTGGGGAGCAGAAATGAGCAAAAAATGGTTTGCTCAAAATTGAGCTGGTTTTTGCTCAATTCCCCACCCCCCCAGCCGAACTCTGCAAGTCTCCTAAAGGCTATTCATGCCCTTTTTTGGAAAAAAAAACACAGGCCCATTTTTGCAGGAAAAAAGGGCTGTTTTTTGGGTGGTCTGCAGAGTGCAAAAATGTTTTTTTTAAAAAATGCCTCTTCAAAATTTTGGTGCGTCTTATACTCCGAAAAATATGGCAATATCAGAAAGATGACAAATGAAAACAGTGCATAAAAAATTCCAGAGTAATACAATATAAGATGCCGCTGTAATGTGGTAACACAGATTAAACTGGCCAATAGTTATGATAGCTATGACCCACACAACAGACTTTTTAGGAAAAAAAGAACTTCAAAATTCTAGGTGTCTTTAATTACTCAATTCTTTCAGCAGTTGAGAAATACCATAATGAATGGCATTGCACAGGAAACTATTTTCAAAAGCCCACTTGATAAGTACCATAAGAATGAGAATAAGAATCCCAATCAGGAGTCCCACCAGGTTTTGAAAAATGCTTTTTTTATTCAAAAACCACTTGCTTTTGTTGGCTTTCTGCAGGTAGTGACTGAATCCATTGTTTGTTTTTAAAGTATTACACAACCCACTATTTATTTAAAAAGGCTATTGCTATGTTGCTCTCCCCGGGATTCTTTCTTTCCCTTTCCCTTTTCACTTCTGCAAATGAATTGTGGCTTTTTACAAAACATGTTATGTTACAAACCTCTTACTCAACTGATTCTGAAGTCTGCTTTCATGATCCTGGTGCTCCTTTCAAGTGTATTAGATTACAAGTACCACCACCTCATCCAGCAAAGGGACAGGACTTGTAATCCAACAAACCTGGAGTACACCAGCCACCAAAGTTGCTTGACTTGGTAGAACAGATCTATTCATGAGCTTAACTCTGCCTCCACTGACTTGAATATTCCCCAAGGTTTACCTTCATGAGCCAGGAAAGGGGAAGGGGAAATGCTTTTTTTTAAAAAAAATTCCTATAGTTTAACTTTGGGAAACTAAATATTTGGCTATATATGGAAAGCTCCCTTTTTCTTTTATCCCTGAAAGTTTATGTTTTATTATACAATACAGGGGACTTGAGTTGCAGATTCTGCTCTTATTTGCATTTAAATCATCCCTTTTAATCACAATTTGTAACAAACATGATAAAAAGTGGTAAGCATCATCATTGTGCTATATTGGTCCCCCCCCTCAGATTGGGCTACTCAATAAACACAATAATGAACCATGTCAAATGTGGCACTGATCCTAGCAATTTGCCAATAGCCTAATTTCTTCAAAGACAGAATGCACATTGTCAACTAACATTGCTCAGATATTGTCCAGTGTGTTGCTTTTCAAAGACTTTTACTCAGCCATACAGCTGTGCAAGTTCTTTTTTCAACAGTACCAAATGGAAAAGTGAGTTAATTGAGAGAGTTATTGTTTATCAACAAACAGCAAAGCAATCAATATGGTTGGTTCCAAAAGTCACTCCTGATGGGTTGTGCTCTTCCTAAATGATGGGTCCGCAATTTGGAAATACTATTGGACTCCTAGTTAAAGCAAATGTGGAAATTTACAGCCATGGAAGCTTCTACCCAATATGAGTTAGTGTACCATTCAATGCCCTGCCTATGCCAGGATGCCCTGGTATCAGTAGCTCAAGCTCAAAGCTTGTTGAAGGTTCCTCCTCTTTATGGGATTCAATTGGAATGAGAACCAAGTGATAGATTTTCTAAATACTGCTCCCCACACCCTCTGAAATACTCTCCCTTGGAAATGAAGAATGTTCTAACCCTGCTTGCATTTTACAAACAAATTAAAACTATCTTGTCCAAGGTGGTTTTGCTCCTTCTTGGCCATTTGTTATGTTTAACTTTTGTTTTCTATCTTTGTACTGTATGTTTTATCTTGTAGTTTCCCAATCAAAACCCATTAGAATTGAGGCCTGATATACATATGGGGAAAGATAATAAATGTATTTATTTATAAATTATTACATGTTTACCAATTATTAAAATATTAGTGACAGTAAAGCTTGTAAACAGCCTAGAATTAGATTAGAATTTGATTCAAAACAAATGAATAGTTAAGTCTCTCAACACCAATAACAACAACAAAAATACTCACTTCATTTGTTCTGGCATCTTGAAGAGCAATTTTCCAAGCCCTACAAGAAACATGAGTTAAATAAAGCACTAAAAGGAAACAAATCACTAGCAAAGATCAAATAATGTATGCAATGTTACCAGTTATAACTGAACCATGGTCTAATAATAAAAATTCAAATATTTGAATTATTTATACATTATAATAATGTATGAATATGGAATAATATTCAAAGTGAAACTGTATATAATATGTTTGGCATTCATTATAAAGACTTATGACATCAGTAAAGACTGAGGCCACAATTTGGCTGGGATTTGGCTTAACGATCTGAATCTGGCATATCAAACCACAGTGGAAGGGAGCATTATGTTAACTGTCCATATCTAGAACATTGTGACTCTATACCAATGCATTAAAACCTCATACTCTAAAGCAGGGGTCATCAAACTACGGCTCACAGGCCAGATATGATCCACCAAAGCCATTAATCCGGCCCCTATAGGACTACAAGGCTACCCTGCCCACATCACCCCACCTGTCCTCACTCGCCTTTTGGAGGCTGAGATGGTCAAAAATCAGACACACAGAGGTTTCTAGAGGCCAAAACCAGGCACGTTTTTTGCCTCCCTGTCTTCCAGAGAGGGAGAGGGAGGGAGAGAGAGAGAGAGAAAGAAAGAAACAGACAGACAGACAAAAACAGAAATCACTCATACACACCCCAAGGCAGCCACATCCCTTCACTAACCTGCTTTCCATCCCCAGGAGCATAACAAATTAAATTTTAATTTGTGTGCATTGTTTGGACTGCTAAATTGGCGATGCCCACCCAGTCACATGATCACTTAGCAATGTTCGGCTAGCTTGTCCACCCCCTCAACAGTCCGAGGGACTGTTATTTGGCCCCCTGTTTAAAAGGTTTGAAGACACCTACTCTAAAGATTGAATGGTAGATTTAACAGTTCTGTGAAGTTTCTTTTCTTTGATCACAGGATTATAGATCTTATAGAAAATTGTTAACTATATAATTTTATGTGGATGGGGATATATTAAGTATTCTTGCACTTGTTGCAATGAAGATCAGGAATTACTTCTTTAAATGTTATTTTTAATATTTCTTTTATTTTTTTTCTTTATTTTTTGCACTTTATATTTTATTTTTTACTTTATTTCTTGTTATATTTTGGTTTATCTTTTAATATTGTTAAACTCTTTAATAAAAAGGATTTTAAAAAAAGAATAGTTATCAGTCACAGGAATCCATTTCATCCACATAAGCTACATTACTTATAAACCGTTACCCACTAAGGCCAATATATAAAAAAAATAAAACAGATACACATCCTGTCTAAAATATAAGACTATTAGATTAATGTCTCTTCTTGACAGGATTATCAAACTGCACATCAAAGTTCTTGATCCTTATAGCAATGCTGCTGACATGAAAATGTACTATGTTACTATGGGTAACATACAGTACACTCTGATACTCTATGTGGCCAAAAGGCTGCTTATAGAAAGATTGGCCCAAATTATTTGTTGCTTTCCTGAAACATCTCAATGTTCTTGAGCTCTCCCTACAATTAGTGAAGTGGCCAATGTAATAGCTAGCAGTGCAGTAAATAACCAGTTTTTCTTTAAAGAGTAATAAATGTAACTCATTGAAGATTAACTCACTATCTAGAATAATCAAAATTCTAGTATCTGCTTAAATTCATCACGTGCAAAGCATATTCTGTGGCACCCTATGAAGATGGGTAGATACTGATCAGCACTACATCTTGTGATTTATAAAAGCATTAGAAGGGAAAGGGTTCAATCCCCCATTATCATTATGAAAATTTCATACCCTTTAATGACAATGCACACTATTTTTCTCACTGACTTTCAGACTATTAGGAAAAACATCTTCCATTTATGCAATGTTCAATATTAGGAAAACCAAACTAATGTCACCCAGTATGATTAGTAATTCTGAGCATGGAACAGCTCATTTGGTAGTCTCAAGAATGAAACCTAGGGGGAAATTATCTTGAAAGAAATGAAAAACAGAGTGAAAGTAGAAAGACTGCAGAAAGTCTTTTCTATTATGTCATTCATGTGTGTGTGTTGGGAGGGTGTGTTTATATGTCAGAGAGAAAGAGACTCTGGGAGACACACAATAAATATTAGAGCGGCTCTCAGCAAACTATAATGCCTGAAGTGACAGAGGACAAGAAGCAGTTCACTGAAAATAGGCCCTTATCTCAAAAGCCCTCACCAACTTCAAATGCCTCTTAAGATATCGTTCATCCATTGGGACCTCAGGACTAAGAGCAGTCCTAAAAGAACAGAGAACCAAGCCATAATTGAGCTGACAATTGCTGCTTGCTTTGTTAGAGATGCCACTCATAGTGATGCCTCAGAGCAACCTCAGTTCACCTGTCACTGTCGCTGTCACTCTTCTCCTTAGGTACCACACGACATTAGAGCTAAGATCAATGTTTCTATGGATGAACTCAGTATTTCCACTGTCACCTTCGAGAATATATAAAATGTGTTAGCTAGAAAGTGAGAGGAGGGAGGAGGAGGAGAAGGATTCTTTATCAGCTTGCCTTTTCACCTCAAAGAGAGTTAATTCTTTCGTAATGATTTCATCACTCTGATGACCAATAGTTTCTATAAGAAAACATTTGCAATATATGATTTGATATTCACCCTGAAGATTAAAAGGATCACAACATAATCTAATTCACAGTAGTTGCTTTTAACATATCAAGAGCAAAAATTATGTGGTGATATTCTAATTGACAGAGAGAAACTTAAGGTTGCTTTAGCAGTAATGTGCTAATAAACATTAATCTTGAAAGAAAAAAGCAAATACATTCAATTGAATACTTAGAATAATCTAGCATGATTCCTTTCCTGAACTTCCAAGTCATCAGATAAAGTCAACAGGTCATGAAAGTAAGATTAACATCTATATTTTCATGAAGAACAGTAATACATTTTAAAAATTATGTACAAGTATACTTAGTTGCTGATAAGAAGATACATGGACAGATACAGGAAACATAAAAAAATAAAAGAATTTGGGAATTACAAAAAAGAGAAAACCAAAAGGACCAACATTTTGCAATTGGTAAAATTGTTTCTTTTTTACCTAATTCATATATGTAAACAGATTAAACCAAAAGGTATTACGCAAATATGAGCTACTTCCGTTATGAAAAGTTATTAAACTCCTATATTTGAACTCACAAGCAATCATCGGTACTTTCTGCACAGAGATTGAGCACCTTCCCATCACGGCAAATTATCTGCAGCAAGCAGTCTTTAGCTTTGCCCTCCGGAGGCTGAAAACCTGTCCAAAATAGAGATGTTTTTACACCTTGTAATGAAAAGTTTATATATACACACAGACACACTTCATCACTGGAGGTTTTTAAGCAGAGACTTAACAGCCACTTTTCTCAAATTGTATAGGGTCTCCTACTTGAGGTAGGAGGTCTCTTCCAGCTCTATTCTGATTGATCGAAAATAGTTCAGGTGTAAAATGATATATGTTTTAAAAAGTACCAGATCAAAAACAAAGGAATATATGAAAAGATAAAAACAACTTATCTTCTACTTTAAGTCCATAAAATTATAAAGCTAAAAAAAGTTCAGAAACTGCTGATGTTGGTACTTGAGGTTTGGAAAAATAAGATTGATTTGCCACATGAAACTTGTCATTGAGTACTGCATTCCTTTCATCTCCAGCTTTTTAAATTTCCTTTCTGAAAATTAGTTGTTTCCATATTGGTTATTGTGGAAAACAAAACCTGTTAATACATAATTTTCTTTTCTTTGGGGGGGTTTCTAAATGTGGTGGGTTTTTTTGGGGTCATCCATTTTTAATGCTAATTTTTTGTCTGTCTAATTCTTCTAATAAATAGAATGAAGAGAAAGATGCTGCATTGTTGGGAGTTAAGTAGCTGCCATTTCCAATTTTAATAAACATTAAAAGTGTTTTAAAATATATTTGTAAATCACCTGACAATAGTCAATAAATTATAAATAATATATATTTTTCGTACATCAATCAAGCTATTATAAGCAAACCAAGGAGTAATGTAGATGACCAGGCTGAGCCCAAGAGAGGGGTCAAACACATCAGTCATGAGTCCCTTCATGCCCACAAGGGGTTTAAGTCCCGCCCACATTGAATTCCTTCTACTCCCACTAATTTCTCTTTGCTATTGAATGTTCTGGATCTCCTAATTCTCCTGGCACTTGACAATTAAAATGGGAAAAATGTTTTTCTTTTGAGTTATGTATCTTTCACTAGCCTAAACAAAATTCAGAAGCCATGCCTGAAAAATATAAGAAATATGTACAATTTGTTTGCTTTATACAGTTAGTCCTCGATTTGCAATCATAAATGGAACCAGTGAAGCAGTTGTTAAGCAAGATTCCTACATGACTGCTTTGCTAAATGATCACAATTCCAGCACTCTCAGTTGCAGTTCTTAAGCAATCACCCAGATCATTAAGCAGAGTGAGAAAGCTGCCAGTTTTAGTTCAGTTCTCTTCCATACACAGAAGAGCACTCTTCCGAAGGGTTGCAGGAACATAGCTCAGATCTTTGGGATCTACCTTCCACTTCTGCAGCACTCCAGAGGCATTCCTATTCCCTTGGCAGGCAGTCCTTTCACTCTTAAAGCGCTGCTTGCAAGGGGACTGGGGGCTGGGTAGGAGGAATCTTGGCAAAAGGAGATGGGATTCCCTCCAGACCAAAATTCCACACATACACAAAATGTTGCTTCCCTAATGAAAAATAAATATCTTCCCTGACAGAATCCAAATGGAAGCTCATATTAACAAAAAATGGTATTTTAAAAGTCATAAAAAAACACGACATTTGAACTTGAGATGCAATATGGACAACCCTTTGACTCAAAATAATTTCCAAAATCACAAGGGAGGACTTATCCAGACAAGCCCTTCCCAGTTTAGGCACCTTCCAAATGTGTTTACTTTAACTGTAGAATCCTCAACATTTCCACAGGATCTGACAAAGTTGGAATTAGAGCATGTCATTTCCTCAGACGTATCTGAAATTTTCCAGTATGCAATTTCCACTAATCGGTTCTAGTCCTATCCTCTGCAATAGCAGGAAACAAGTCTATTCTATCTCCTGTGGAGTACTATTTCATATATTCCTTTTTTTTTTCTTGTATAAGTAAACATACCATGCAGTTTTTCAACTCTTTTAAGCAGGAGGCAACAAAGAAGAGTTGAACGAAATAAATGATTGCCAAGTAGGCAAAACAATTGTTTTAATGTTCATTACATAAATTGCTTTAGTTATGAAATATATAAGCTGAAACTTCCAACTTCATGTCTTCTCTTGTGAAATAAAAACCAACTAATCAAAGACAGGTATACAAATTCTATCATTAGAAAAATAAAGGGACTCGTTATCATTACCAGCAAGTCAATTAGAACACTAAAATCCTATCCAAACCTATTAGTTTTAAACCTATGCCATTAATACTATTACAGATACATGAAGTTCTCTTAGATATATAAGACTGGGGAAGCAGACATAGGCATGTGAAGCAAAATGAAAAGTAATATAAAAAGCACATACTCACCTCGGCATTCATTTCCGCCTCTGATATTGATACTGTCAATTTTCATGTGAACTCTATCTTCTAGATCATGCCTATGTTGGTCATCATAAAACAATAACTGGCCATCAGACCACAAATCAAACCAATTTTTCTTCCAGCGTCGTAATATAGTACCTAAAATACATATAGAATAATCAGGAAAGGTGAAGACAAGTGAGCAATATGCAAACCTGACTTGTAACTATTCATGTTGTGTATAGGTTTTGTATAGTTTTATCCTTTTAAGCCACCCAGTCATTAAATAAATACCGTATTTTTCGGAGTATAAGACGCAGCAAGGTTTTGAAGAGGAAATTTTTTTTAAAATTTTTTGGCACTTTGCAAACTTCCCCAAAACAGCCTGTTTTTCATGAAAATGGGCCCATTTCTTTTTCAAAAAAGGGCATGAATAGCCCTTAGGAGGCTTGTAGTGCTCCTGGGGGCAGGGGGAGCAAAAAACGAGCAAAAAACGGTCCAGTTTTCATGAAATGGGCCCATTTTTTGTCAAAAAAAGGGCATGGATAGCCTTTAGGAAGCTTATAGAGTGGTGCTGGGGGGCAGAAAACAGCCAGTTTTTGCTTATTTCTGCCCTCCCCAGCCTCCAGGAGTTCTCTGAAAGCCTCCTACAAGCTATGCATGGCCATTTTGGTGAAGGGGCCGGAGTTTGGGGAGGCAAAAAATGTTGTATTCAGTATATAAGACGCACCCAGATTTTTAGCTCCAGGGCAGGACAAGGAGTAAAAGATAGAACGCCAACATGTAACTAAGGATAAATTTAAAACAATTAGAACAATTCATCAATGGAATGGCTTGCCTCCAGAAGCTCTGGGTGCTCCACACTGGTGATTTTTAAGAAGAGACTGGACAACCATTTTTCTGAAATGGTATAGGGTCTTCTGTCTAAGCAGAGAACTGGACTAGAAGACCTCTAAAGATCCCTTCCAACTCTATTATTCCATTATTCTAATATTTGTTACACTGAAGTAACTAAAATCACTGATGGGTTTGAACATTCTACAATGCTTTAAGAAAAAAATCAAACATTTTCCCTTTGAAAAAAGTTAAGAATTCATTACCTTGGGATATAGGAATGGTCACTAGCCATTAATCTTGTAATCTTTAAAAGACTATTAAAAATGCTCATGGAAGATGAGGCTATGCCTGTCTATTGAATACCCCTACACCTCAAATTATCTTCAGGATCCCAGGGAAGGCTGGAGATTCCTCTGAATATCAACTATTGTGAAACAAGAATCAAGTGAGCTTCCCATCCAATCAAATATGTAGGAACCAAATGCTGCAAAGTCTGAGTCTGCTACGTTACTCTTATATTTTTAAGATAGAGCTTGGATGCCAGGAAATATTTCCTGACTCTTCCTAATAACTAACTGACTCATTCTGCCAAACCATTTATCAAGGCCAGCAATTAAGTTTTCTCCTCTAACCAGTGAAGGAGATAGACATCTCTATAATAACTGTACGGCCAAAATGATTTTAGCACAATACTTTCATTTTAATAATGGAAATTATTAAAGTATGATAATGCAAACATGAAGCTTTTTTCACACGCTTTTCTGAAAGATGAAGGAACCAAATTATAAACTAGTTCGATTATTCACTTACCTGACATTAATCTTAATCCATGCAGCCACCAAGCAGCACTTTTTGAATCCAAGCAGCACTACTTTGGAAAGATACATCTAATCCATATTTTCCTACTATGTTGTCCACAACGCCAGAATTCCCAACCATTTCCCAATTGGAAATCATAGGAGTTATATTTTAAAAGATTAAATCATGGCAACTGGACCATCGCTTATTAAAAATAAGAAATTTTGTTACTCATTCAAGTATCTTTTCAAAATGAAAAATGTAAGTTAGGGATAGAGTCATTGGGATGTACTAACTCTTGTCATGCCAATTGCAGGGCTTTCTCCCCAAAATGTATTGCAAATATAAATGAAGACTCAATCATCCAGGCCAAAAGCATGGATGAATGAGTCTTCATTTACATAGGTGTTATAGCTCTGCATATCTAGGGATCTCTCTGCTGGGAACAGCTACTTAATTCCTTTCTCCCCACTATGAGGGTTCTTCCCCACTACCATCACCATTGCAAATTGCCCTGTGGGAAGAAAAAACAGCTTACTGATGGAAGGAGAGCTCCAGATTGAAAGAAAAAAGGGGGGAGTCCTTGCATAGAGAATGCTGTCTGCAGACTTTTTTAAACAAACAATATGAAATGATCCAATCTTTCTCTCTTAATATCAAGCTATTTGGCCCCAAAGCAAAGAGTGGATAATGAAATTCATTACTTACTTTGTCGGAGCAACCATCCGCTTTTTACCATCGCCATCACCAATCTCTAGAGCAAAAAGAATATGATAGACTTCTGAGATATAGAAAAACATAGCAGTAATGAGAACATGCATCAATATAACAATTCTCAAAAGGAATCCCAACTCTTGTTATTAACATATCTAAAGGATGCCAAATTCATGAAAGTTGATATAAAATGCATTCTTCTCTCATGGTGACGATAGGTCAAAAGAATAAATAATTGATATTATTTTGGCCATTTATTACTTTTTATCCCACCATTATTTTTTTTAGAAATAACTCAATGCGGCAACATAACCAATATTTCTTCCTCCTCCTATTTCTCCACAACAATCCCCCTGTAAGGTGGGTTGGGATGAGAAAAAATGACAGGACCAAAGTCAACCAGCCAGCTTTCATGACTAATGCAGGATGAGAACTAAGTGTCTCCTGATTTCTAGCCTGGTGCCTTAATCACTAGATCAAAGTGGCTCTTGTCCATAATTTTTATTGTAAGTATACTGAACTGTCCATAACTTGGACAGTATAGGATCCCTATAATCCCTTAAATATTTTCAGTACATTTTTATTAGGAGGTTATTTAAGAAAGTAAAATATCATACAATATGAAGGACTTTTCTGCTTCTGAGAAATAAGCAGTTAAAAATTTTAATATTTAATATTCTAGACTTAGGAAAAACACAAGCAAGATCTAATGTTGGATGTATGTGCACCTACCTTTCCTTCCATTATTTCCTGTTAATTATTTAAACAGAACAGCTAGAGAACCTGCACCATAACTGAGTTGCCAAGCACCACCTGGGCATGGCAGACCAAACTAGATGTTACTTAATGTTATAATTACAAGACAATTATTTTTTTAAAAATGTAAATTAAAATTGTGATAGAAATATATTAATCAATTACCTATATATGAAGTTGATTTAATCCATGGGTACTTTAGCAATTTAACCTATGTTCAAATTTCTGAAATCAATTTAGAAACTGAAATCAACTTGGAAAATAATAAATATGCCAAATTTTGCAGTCCCAGCTGAGAAAAAAACAGGTCTTCAAACCATGGATTACTTCAAGACCCACTGCTGCTACCCCATGATTGTTTTTTTTGTGTGTGTGTATACACACATGCATTAGGGGTGGGTTCCAGCTGCCACTTCTACTTCTACTGCCGGTTCACTCAGGGATGCGCTGCGAATGCAGTGCAACAAATATCACTCTGCGCATGAGCAGAAGGCAAAAACAAGATGAGAGAACTAGTTCGGGGGCATGGCAAGTTACTACCTGTTTGGCCGAACCAGTCCGAACCAGTAGAAACCCACCTCGACGTGGATGCGTGCATGCATGTGTGTGCCTTCAAGCTGGTTTTTAACTCCTGGCAATTGCTTGGGTTAATGCCTAGAGTTTTCTTGGCAAATGTTTTTCAAAAGTGATTTGTCACTGCCTGCTTCCTAGCTTTGAGAGGGAGTCATTGGCCAAATGTCCCCTAGCTCACTTTGTGCCTAAGGCAGGGGTATGTAACTGCAGACTGGATGTGTCAGGTGCTGGCCCCGCCTCTGCCCTGTTTAGTGAAGGGGGGAAAGTCCTGATATGTCACGTGACACTGCTATGATGCTGCGAGTTTGACCCCTGGCCTAAAGTGTAACTAGAGTCTCCTACTTTCTATTTGGGGTCTCGACCACACCACCCATCTGGCTTTAAACAACCACCAATCCTGGGCAATAAAGTTACATCAGGCTTAATTCTATGGTTAATGCAGACCATGCAACCATCCTCAATTTTCCATTCAGCCCAGGGATATAGTTGTTAAAAACAATGCTGCCTCTGCTTTAAGGGCAAATTCAACTGATAAGCAGCGAAAGCCCAAGAAATAAGTAGAAGAAAGGTAAACCACACCTGTATTTGCTAATGCAAAATTACATCTGCAATCTGAAAAATTATCATCAGTAAATGTACAAAAAAACTCTCAATGAAATTTTTCTCAAACTGATAAAACAGGATTTGTTTGTTTTTGGTCCAGATTCTCACAGCTGCTTTTGATGCTCTTCCCAAATATCTCCATGTGTTTATTGTGTTGGGAAAGTAGCATGAAAAGGCTAATTTGCATTTTAAATATCCATTTCAAACTTTCAAAGAAGTTGCACATCTCTAGTATATTCTGTGTAAATGTTTGCCCTACAATTGAATCATGTTCCATATTACTGGCATAAGCTCTTTAAAACAAGATTTAGAACAGTAATATTCTTGAAATTTCTTTCAGCTAGAGATACCAATATATTGAACACTCTGTTAAACTTTAACTCATAAAAAATGACAGACATTACTGGTTTCATCTTAGTGGATTAAGAATTATGTATAGGTAAATTGAATATATAATTCATCCTAACAATTAATATTTCTAAATTACTGTATGGACCATGAAAATTGAGACAGTACATTTTATCCATTTGAGATGGAAACTATTCAGAATAAATCACTTTACTAGAAACAAATGCTAACTTTCTATCAGCCCCTTGAATACTAAATGATTAATTTCATAATTACTTTATTTCAGGCTTGCTTCTTCCAGATGTTTTAGGACCACAAATATAATTATCACCAGCTATTATTAATCAAAATGTATTTACTGTCTAATAAAAGACAGCATACAATACAACTATAAAGCCATCCTAATATGTTGACTAGTGATAATGGGAATCCTAATCCATGTATTTGGGAAAAAGATCATTTATTTTTGAAGATATCAGTAATAATTTCCTAATCTTTGTTTCATCAGATTTATAAAAGAGAATCTTTTCTTTTAGAATCTTTTTTTTTCTTAAGAGTAAAGCACAAAGGAAGTGACATCATCCTTTAAAAACAAGCAACTCCCGACTCTTTTCTTTCCTTTTATAGCAGGATTTTTTAACCTTGGACATGATAATAACGCCAAGCAAAAACTTAAACAAGCAAGCACTTTTTTTTTCTATGGCAGCCCGATGTTTGTTTATATTGAGCACTTCTTAAGAAACAAATCAGCAGTCTTGAATTATCTTCTGCTGCAATTCAGAAATCACTTCCCCTTAAGAGTTTGAAATTCTATACGGGTGAAAGATGGTTTTAAAACCTGCAATCCCTCCCTTCCCTCTCCTAAAAAGGCTACGATGAAATGCCATTAAATCTTCCTTTTCCTGATTTAAAACTCCACATCCTTCTTTTCTCTGACATTAAGATGGGTGGGGGTGGGGGAATATAAATAAGCGATTCAGACTCCATGGACTCGTTACAAGCGCCAAGGATTACAAAACGCAGAGATGGCGTGACCTCGTTGGATTTGTCTCTGCTTCCTCTAGACGAGTTGCAGCCGGTGGGGCAGCCACCCGCCCTCCCACCTCACCACGGTAGTACGGCTTTCTTTTTGTCCTCCCCCTCCGCTACTAAGGACCCACACAAAGCGCACCACCGCCTGTCGCCCAGCTGTCCGCCTGGAAAAACACGACCTCCAGCACAGCTTAACTCCGAGCCCTAAAAAGTTACCCCTGGAGCCATTCTTTTGGTCCCTTTGCTGGAACCCATAGAAGCAATTATCCCCTTCAAGGGACTTCACTGACCTGTTACACTTTGCAAAGAGCGCACAACTCCTAGAATTCCGGCTTTCGTTCTTCCTTGTTGCCGAGAAATGGAAAAGCTTCCACGGCACCGCCTTTCAACGGCCAGGCCTCTCTCTCTTCGGATGGGTCCTGTGATCGTTTGCGTCACTTAATACGTTTGCACATGCTCATAACTGTAGGTGGGAATTGTAGTTTCTCAAAGCAAGGGAAGGAAGGTGACACACATGCCGTTATTTAATTGTGCAATATAGTATTATCATGTTGCAATAACACAGGAGATAGGACTCTATGGAGAGAGATCTGTGGACTTACAACACTCATCGAAGGGGAATTCTGGGAGCAGAAGTCCATATATCTTAAAATTGCCAACTTTGAGAAATGCTCTGCAATAGTTCCCTGCCAAACCTTCATTCCTGTCTCAACTGAAGTGGAACAAACTATGCCAAGAAGAGATTATAACAATTATCTGCCAAGGGATAGTGCCAGGAGGCTATATGTAGCACTAACTTCCAAAATGAAGGATGCTCAAAGTGAACTCAGATCTATAGTGCTCTCTCTTTTTTTTAATGTAATGAACGACAGAAATATATGTTAGGGAAAAAGCAATATTATGAAAAATTAATTGTAAATTATAAAAATAAAGGAAGATGTAAAACTTTCATATAAACAGTTTCTTGTGATAGCAATGAGTATTGGAGAAAATACTTTTACAGGACTGTTACAATCAAGGGCAGTTTATAAAAAATTCGTAGAATCATATAAGAGAAAGTGAGAGTGCTGAGCATAACATGCAGCAATTTAACAGCATGCTGTTGTTTGGACATGCTTGAGAATATTGAGGTCCAAAGATGTATAAGTACAACTATACATATCAGTGAGTGTGTACAAAATATGAAATTGCACAATAATTACAAGATTAGTATATCATAGAAAAAAGCACTCAAATAGCAATCTACATTAAAATAACATCTGCAGAAACACCCCCCAAGGAGAACATGATTCCCAATTGGTCCAAAATTGTATTAACATCAATAGGTGGAGAAACAGAATCCTATTTTTTCAACTAACACGACAGACTTTTTTTGCCAATGTTAGCTCCAGAAAAAGTTCTGAAAATCTGAAGTAATATACACATCCAGTTTCTGATGTAGTCAATTCTGTCTTCAATCAATAAGTGTCTCTTGAAGAGATTTTATGGTACACTAATTATTTATCTTATATGCTTCTCACTTAGAAGCAACTTTGGGTGGCTTACAATCAATAAAACACTAATTTAAACAATTAAACAATTAAAACAAATATTAACATTAAAACTGGTTTAAATTGCTACTGTTTAAGAATTGAATTTGAATTGAATTTATTTCATTTATATGCCGAAAGCTATCATCCAACAAAAATATAATCCAACAATATATTGGCTATTAAACATATATAATTGCAGTCATCTATGCCTATCATTGCTATAACTACTTCTATATACAGCTATCAACATGCCACACAGGTAGATAAATTAGAAGTAAATCTACTTAAATCTCATGTAGGAAACTGAAAATCACATGAATGAATGCATTGACATCAATACTTTATTGGCCAGAACATGATATTCTGTTGTACCTGGAGGTAATGTTATTTAACTCTGGAAAGCCCAGGGATTAGAGGATGTCTTTCCATGCAATTATCTTTAGAGACAACATTTTATACAATAATACAATAGCAGAGTTGGAAGGGACCTTGGAGGTCTTCTAGTCCAACCCCTTGCCTAGACAGGAAACCCTATACCACCTCAGACAAATGGCTATCCGACATATTCTTAAAAACTTCCAGTGTTGGAGCATTCACAACTTCTGGAGGCAATCTGTTCCACTGATTAATTGTTCTAACTGTCNTTCTTTGGTATCTGCTGCCTATGCTGATATGGTGGCACAAGAATAGATGTTTAGATGTCTTGTAGTTTATTATGATTTATAGGCCGCCCTTTTCCCTGAGGGGACTCAGGGCGGCTTACAATACATGGGAAGGGGGGTGCAAAACAAAAACACAATTTATTTGTGCTAAATAACCATCCTCAACTTTCCTGAAAAAGGAGTCTCATGTGGGAGTCCAGACTGATTGGCTCCTGTTTTCACAGTGCAGGATACTGGAAGTTCTAGAAAACCTCCCAGTAGAAAGAGTTAGAATCGAAGAAGCTTTTTGGTTGAGAAGTGAAAGGAAAGAAAACCAAGAAAGTCCAGTTGCCTTTTGGAAAAGCATTTGTAGGAGATGACCAGGCTGAGCCTGAGGGAGAGGTCAAACATATCATCAGTCATGAATCCCTTTGCACCCACAACGGATCAAAGTCCAGCCCACTTTGAATTCCTTCACTAGTTCAGATTAATGTCAAGCACCAGGAAAATCAGGAGATCCAGGCAGTTCAAATGAGTATATAGATGTATTGCAAGCTTAAGCTCTCTACAAGAATCTGAGCTATCAACAGACCAGAAAAATGAGCGGGAGATAAGAAAGGTATTCAAGGTGGGCTGACTTAGATGTCTTGTGGACAGGAAGGGACTCATGACGGATGATGCGTTTGGCCCCTCCCTTGGGCTCAGCCTGGTCATCTCCTACAGCACTTTTGGGACAACCATGACCTGGATGAGAATCTCTATAAGACTCCTAGCAGAAGGAGCAACTCCACAGAGGAACCAATGAAGAAAGAGGTGGCAGGTGCTCTTGATGGGGGGATGTGCTCAAATTCAAGCTAGGCTGCTCTGTGTCTGGGATGGTTTAATTTGGATCAGGGCCCTGGACACAGAGGGCCCTTCCAACTCTAGCATTCTATGGAATTGCTATAGGTACTTATACATTAATCTAGCTTGTAAATCTAGCGTGTTGAGAAAAAAAAAAACAGAACACGTCTATTTATACACTGACACAAGCCAACTAATGGATTCTGGGGCTGCCCGTTACAAAAACACTTTCCTTTTTCTGCATTAACCTGATGGGAGGGGAGGCTCTCACCACTAAATAAACCTTCCAAATTTGGCTTTGACAGATTTTTTTAAAAATCAAGAATAACAGCTCAAATTGCCTGCAGCTTCACTGGCATTAAGGCTGCAATTGATTTCATTTTTCTCTTCTGCTGTCTGTGGACCTTGACAGAATGGAAACGGCTTTGATTTTAACAGCTGGAATGTCTATTTTCAGAGGCAGAGAAACTGACCAACATCTGCTTGCTCTTCTCAGCAATCATTGCAACTTAACTCTGTGGTTAATTAGGTCTAGTCTGCAAGACTGGTCCTCTTCCCGTCTCCCCGCCCCCAATGCAACAGAGATGCTTTTAGGATCAGCTCTAAGCTCTTCTTCCTCCCTGCAGTCTTTGCTTCCCACCTTTCCTCAAGAAAAGTTCTTGAAATTCAATTTTACAGGTAGTCCTCGACTTACAACAGTTCATTTAGTGACTGTTTGAAGTTAAAACAGCACTGAAAAAGGTGACCTATGACCATTTTTCACTCTTATGACTGTTGCAGCTTCCCCATAGTCACACGATCAAAATTTGGGCACTTGGCAACTGGTTCATATTTATGAAGGTTGCTGTGTCCCAGGATCAGTGATCCCCTTTTGCCGTCCTCCAAGAAGCGAAGTCAATGGGGAAGCCAAATTCACTTAACAACCCAACTTAACAACTGCAGGGATTCACTTAACAACTGTGACATTTCTTGATGTAAAATGTGGCAAAACCCACCTAACAAATGTCTCACTGAACCACAGAAACTTTGGGCTGAATTATGGTCCTAAGTCAAGGACTACCTGTACAGTGATTTTACGGAACTTCAGCTGGCCTAAGGAAGGAGAAGGCATTAGGACCGGGATGGCAAACCTACCGCAAGTGTGCCACAGGTGGCACCCGGAGCCATCTCTGCGGGCAGGCGAGCCATTGCCTAGGTCACCTCCAACTGCACATATGCCTCCCACCGGCCAGCTGATTTTCAGATCTCTGCTGGGAGATGCATGGGATGGGGGGGGGGGGTCAGGCGCCACATGCGTGGAGGATGGGGGGATACGCCCCCCCCCGAGCCCTATTTTTGTTTCCAGGAGGCTTCAGGAAGGCCTGCTAGCACCAAAAGGGGGGTTATGCACGCATGCGTGGGTGGGTGGAGTACATGGGGGTCACACGCACATGCGCTGGGGCAGGTCTGCAGGGGGTATTACATTATGGGTGTTGGCACACACACACACACACACACACACACACACACACACACACTCTTTTGGCACCTGAGGAAACAAAGGTTCGCCATCACTGATCTAGGAAGTTATTCTGCATCACCTTGGAGTCCCCCTCTGCCTCCTTGCCCCCAGCACAGCCCAAACTGGGCAAGAGATTAGTTTACCATCCAGCATCTGAAAACTGTGATAACGGCCTGCAAAAGAAGATATCTGGGCAGGCTCTCCTCCAGCCATCTCCCTGGCTGCTGATAATGATCGGATAAAGAGTTACACCAACTGGGCTTCTTGGTGCGACCCTGCAAGGCACTTCTTTCCACCAGACACAGGAGGAGGGAACGGCGACAGCTATGAACATGGGAGCCTCTATTATAAACTCCAAAAATATTTTTCTTCTGTCGCTCTCTTTTTAAATATTCCATTCATTAATCAATGGATGCCCAGTTCTTATTTTCCAAATATACCTTCAAGGACAGAGCATTACAAGGAAATCTGAAATCATTTCCCCAAGTGACAGATGCAACTTTCTTGAAATTGGTGCCTTCAGGCTCTATTAGGCCTACCACTCCTTCCCACCTGTCTTCCCTCCTTTGGCGCTTTGCCGCAGAGAAAGCTGGGCTGAGGACACTCACAATTACACTTCTCCAGCATGCCAAAACGGATTGGAGGGTGGAAGCACGACATAATGAGCAGTTTCTTTTCACTGGTTTGATTTGGAACTTCTAATTCAGAAGTTGGAACTTCTGGCAAGGTCTTTTGGAGTGACGGGAGAACATTGGCCGAAACAAAAGGGGTCTGAAATCTGGAGGCTGCTTGAAGCCGAAGCTACCAGGGAGTCAGCAGAGGGTCTGGGACAACTCGCCAAGGCCAGGTCACTGTGGGAGAAGAACTACACTAAC